GGAGTCCATCCCTGCCTGGAAGCTCCTCCCACTAAGAATGTGAATAAACCATTTCCTCTGTCCTCCCAGCTCCAGAGGATTCCTGTGTCTGAACTTTCACTGGCAGACCTCTTCTCAGGCTGACCCATCCTTGGCCACTACAGAATTGTCCTACCCACCCTGTGAGGGTGAGTCTCCTGTGAGGGTGAGTCGTGCATAACTAGAGATACCCAGTTTATGAAAACACTTTAGTGTGAGTTCAGTTTCCTGTATAGCCAATGCTGTAGGCTTGGCTCAGTAAAGATGATAATTAACCCATTGCTAATTGACCTTAGAAGCCAGCCTAGCAGCCTGTATTTTACCAGCTTGTGGAATTGTAGGCTATTTTAAGCTTTCTTAATAATCTCAGCAAGACTTCACTTTCCTGTCTGCATCTTATTTGCTCTAAGGACATTTGTAAAATTAACAAGCTATAAAGTTTGATTGAAGGTTTCAACAAATGTGAGAATAATTGGCTCCATTTAGAGAAACAAGGAAAACAACCTGTAAACTTGAGTTTGTAGGGGAAACCCGTGTGATTTTTCTCTTTAACCAGAGGAGCAGTAGCAAGCAGGACTTTTTAAAACCAAGAAAAATATAACTGGCTGATAGTGCAAGTTTAAATTCTGTTTCTCCCAAACCAGAAGTTCAGAAAAGGAAATTTTGCAAAACCTAACCAGCCACTGTAATGTTCATGCCTCCCAAGAGGCCTGTTTGGAGAAAACGGACCCAGTAAAGATGGAGTGAGTCCCTCATTCTTTAGAGCTCAAGAGGCCTGGTTCAGCCCTCTCACCGTCCCTCCTTTTTTCCTGGCTGGATCAGGGATTTTCTCCCTCCCTCCGGGGCTGCACTGGGCTGTTAAGTCTTGCAATGCAGAGTATATCAGTCTGTGGTGCCTGGTGCTCATTTCCTTTTCTCTCTCTCTTGCCCTTCCCTATCTTCCATAAGACGGCTTAGCTCTCTTTTTTCTGTTCCTTCCTGGGCATCTCTACCCAGGCTGCCATCTCCTGCTGAGTGGCTTTAGTTTTCAGAGAATTCCATTCTTTGCTCATCCCCCTCCAAGGTTACCCTGACTGGTAGCTCAGTCTGCCTTCCCTCTTCTCTCTTGACCTACAGGTTTCTTTCTGCTTTCCTCAAAACTTAACCTTCCGCTTAGCTCCAGCCTTCTACTTACCCTGTGCATACCCACATTATCTCTCTAAGGAACTGAGCCTGGGACAGGACAGGCTCCTGTAATCGCCTTGCCACATCTCACTTTCAGTTTTCCTTTCTGCTTTGTTCTTTGCGTGTGGACCTGATCTGGGTGATAACTGGAGCCCTGAAGCTAGAGGTTTCAGTTCCCACTGATGGGCTGCCTCAGATGGTCTTCAGGGGAAGGGAAAGGGGCTTTCTCTGGGTACCTTTCTTTCATTCAGCTCTTGCCTAACCTAAAGCACCACTTTCTTTTCTGGAGTATTTATGTGAGACATTTTGTCTATTAACTTTGGAATTTCTGATAATGTCCTGTGCAATGAGTCTCCTTCTAGAAAGGCCATGACTGCCACGAGAAGATTCTGGGTCCCTGTTCCCTGGGATATCCCCACCTCTAGTTTCAGTCCTGCCCAACCTGTTAACAGCCCAGGAAGGAGGCCTCTCTCACCCAGCTCTTTCTCCCCTAGAGAATCTACAATTTGCCCAGAGCTACAATGAACATACCACTTATATTCTCTGTTTTTCATTGATAATAGAATGGAAAAATGTGCTCATGAACAAAGCTGTTGTGGGGATTATGTCATAGACTTCATCTGGACTCCTTCCTCTCCAAGCAGGGAGCCTAGATTTAACCCCTGTCCTACCAGGAAGTCCTCCTTGCCCAAACATCATCTCGGAGTTGGCTGGTTTGAAGGGCTTCTTCTGTCATGATGTCCCTTATTAACCATATTTAAACTTTTTTTTCACAACTCATGAAAAGAAAGGGTCAAGAGAACTATGGTCCTTACTGAGCTGGGCTCATTCTTCCTGCCGTACAGCAAAATGCTTTAGCAGGCAGGCCAGAGGGCTGGAGACAACCATTTTCTCTGTACACCTGGGCAAGCCCTAGGCTTTCTACCTCTCAGTTCTCCCATCTACTAAATAGCTAGAACTCCCATTTCTCATATACAGAGTGCACTTTGAAAACTTTAGGAGACTGTGTACAAACCTGGGCTGTTCTCCCTAGTTGGATTGCAAGGAGAGAGGACACTCTTCCAAAGGCTGGGTGATTTCTCTCTCCCAACAGGAAGAATCCCTTTCAGGCCTTTTAGTACTGGCTCAGAGACCCACTGGCTCAAATCCCTCTTGAGAATCAACCAGGAGTTCTCTTGCCCTAGGGGAGGGAGTAAGTGGCCAAAGCAGACAAAATCCCCAAGGAAACCAGGTTCCTTCTCAACAGGGTGAAAATTAAAATGGGATAGGAGGGACACTCCTTTTTCCTTTTGTGTCCATGCAAATGACAATTCCCCCTGACTCTCTAAGGATGTACTCCAGGCAGGCTCAGGATGTCTGTGTCCCTGGGTCCTGCTGTGTTCTGGAAATCCCCATCTCCAGGAGTCCCACGTCCACACAGATGGCCTTTCTCCCTCTTGGCCAGGAATCATACTTTTTCCTGAGCCATTCAGCATGCCACCCAGCCTGTGCTCACACAGCAGGAATTCTGCTGCCTGCCTGTCAGCACATGTGTGCCCATGCACACACACTCCTCTTTGAGGCAGATTGCTGTGCACACTCAGCAGGGATGCTAGCATACTTCTTATGCCCATCCCTAGGCATGGCAAGCTTAGGACCTTGACAAACTTTTTATCTGTCTTCCTCTTACCCTGTAACTCCCACCTCCTCTCCATTCAGTGGTAGCAGGCTCACACCAAAAAGGAAAGTCCTGGACCCATTACATAATTATCCATGGTGCAAGCAGTAGCTGGGGCATAAGGTCAGAGGTCATAGTGGGGTCAGGTGGCTGACACACTGTAACGACAAGGTGGTTAAAATTAGACCACAGAGAGGAAACTGGCAGTCTTGTGGAAATGCAGAAGTTTCCTCTGCAAGTGAGAGGCTGGGGATGCAGGGAGGCCACTGTGCGTGCTGCCTGCCAGGCTATTACTCATTTCAGCTCTGTTCTTTAATGCCTTTTAGCCCCTGCTTCTGTATTTCTAGCCTTCCTCATCACAAGTTTGAATACACGCGATGGAACCCATGGTTACCTGTCCTGGCCAAAGGAGAGCTTCCTCCTTCAAGGAGGCAAGTCCGGGACTGGGCACCCTAGCTCAAGACGGCCATCCTTTCCTAAGCCTTTTCTGGGTAGCTGAACACCTTTTAGGTCAGCCTCTCAGATGGAGGCAGTCAAGGTACTTAGCCTGATGTTCAGACCGTATAATGCTACCAGAGCCAGTGGTAAGGGTGATCAGGGGCCACTCCTAGGCAGGGAGAAGAGCAGGTTTGGCTGAAAATAGCCAAGGGTGGAGTCACAGAGCACACAGTGGACTGGTGTGCGCTGCACTCACCCTGGCCAGCCAGCAGGCAGAGTGGTATTCCTTCCCACAGTGTCCCATTTCCACAGGACATGGCTCATACCTGCCTCATCTGTTCTTGTGGTACCCAGCTGAGCTCCCTGTGCCTGTCAGTCCTTACTATGAGCCTCCTGTGTGCCCTGCTTGTCCTTAGCACCCTTACCAGGGAAGTAAGAAAAGTATGAAATGTAGTCTTTGCTGACAGAGGGACTTTGTCCAGGTAAGGGAGATAACGTGCACCTGTAAAACAATGAGCAGACACTCAAAGGCAGTCTTTCCAAGTGAGTACTTTACCTTTCACATTATGGAATGGGGAAGCATGTGGAAGGGGATACTCAGTGTGGGCTAGAGTCAGTGATGAAGAAGCTGCCACCCTGTGACATGGTTAGCCACATAAGTGTTTCCCTATGTGAAATAGCCATTAACAGCTTCCAAGCCACAGATCAAGCAGGGCTCCCCTCCCTTGGTGAGTGCCCTGTCAGTCAGGAGGAGAGAACTCCAAAGACCAGAGATGGATAGCAGAGGGCATGAGCAAGGCAGATGGATTTGTGGGTGAGGGCATGCGTGTGCGGTCTCGCCGGAGAAAGATCCCACAAAGTTTCTTGCAGGAAACTTCATCTGAGACACTTAACAAGTTCGACGATTGCTCAAGATATTGAATTTCATTTCAGCTAAATCAGCGAAATCAGCCCTAGCTTCTCTGACAGCACTGGCTTATGTGCTGATGTGGCCACATGGGGACAGGATGGCGTGAACCCCTGGAGGAGCAGAGCTTTGGTGAAACGCTCCCCTACCCCAACCCTGCCACCTGTTTTGGCTGTCTCCCTTCTCCTGACAACAATTTCCTGCCTGACCCCAGTCTCTTGAGCATGAGAAGCTCTTAGGTGGGGCAGGAACCTGTCAGGGGAAGCCCAGAGTGATCTGGCTGAAATGAAACAGCCAAGAAAAGTCCTCATCATTCATTCTGTACTCAGGCTAAAAGTTCTCCTTCTGGGAGTCTGGAGAGAGGTGAGCTGGGAGAGGAATGGAGAGTGGCAGTGAGAGCTACCAGAAAGCTGTGTTCTGTGAAAGCCAGTGTTCTACATGCCACCCTTCCTTCTATCAATTAGATACCAAACTGAGAAAAATTTAATTCATTCTTTTTTTATACCAGGACTTCAGTGAAAGAATGGCAAAACCCCAGAGGTCGCCTTTCATTGGTCCTGGGGTTGTCTGCTACTCCAGAAATGACCTAAGGGGAGACAGTGGTGACTTTCTTCCTTCAGAAGATCTTGGTCCTCAACCCTCACTTGGCCCTTGCCCACCATCTCACACATGCACACCCTGTGCTCACTCACTCCACCTCCCTTACCCAGTAACTTTGACACATTTCTCATGTGCCCCTTAGCCAACAAACAGTCTCTCTCATTTTCATCTTCCCTCAGAAAATGCTGTTTTTCTTCTCTCCGTCTCTCCCTGTAGGTTATTGCAGCCGACTGCAAAAGGGTCACAGTGCTGAAGTATTTTCTGGAAGCCCTTTGTGGACAAGAAGAGCCTCTGCTGGCATTCAAGGGTGGAAAATATGTGTCAGTGGCACCCGTCCCAGACACCATGGGAAAGGAAATGGGAAGCCAAGAGGGAAAACAACTGGAAGATGAGGTACTATGCGGGAAGAGCCCGCTGTGGCAGAGAGAAGGCACCCCTCCTCCCCAGCGCTGCTCTGCCTGGGGCTTCAGCTCGTACCCCTGGTTATTTATAACCACTCAGAGCAGTGTCCCTGTTAACAGGACCAACCAGCTTCTCAAGAGTGCACTCTGCTGGTGCCCCTTCCTGCCAGTCCCACCCTAGTGCCTCCACCTCACTCTCCTACGAGTTCCAGATGCTTCTTTTTAATGTTGCACTGGAGGAGAAGGGAGGGAAAGAAAGAGTTTAATAATGTGCAGCTCTGGAGGCTTAGGAAAGGGACTGGGGGGGTGTTAGGGCTGAGGATCAAGTTTATAGATGTGTGGAGCCCAGTGCAGCACAGGCCTGAACTCCAGCCTCTAGCACACATACAGGAAGAGCTGACATTGCTGGCTCCGTGTGGAAAATCACCCCCTCCCCTGGCCTACTCTCTCTCCCTCCCTCCCTCCCTCCCTCCTGCACATCCTGATGTGATTAAGGAATTCTCCTCTTGTTTGTTTGCCCTTGGTTGTTCCTGTAGCCCTCGCTTCACTCCAGACCCTGTGCGCGCACACACACAGGCGTGTGCCACCCTGTTAAGCCCCACTGGCAGTGGCCCTGCCGTACAAATGTGTATCTCTCTGGGGTTATTGTTGTCATGGGTCTGTATATGCTGGGTTTGTGTGTCAGTTTAACACTGCTGCCAGCCACCCTGCTGGCTGTGGGTTCTGAGTAAATGTGAGTATGTGTCAGTATCGGCTCATGTATGCGTTTAATATCACTGCCAGCTGCCCTGCTGTGTGTCTCAGTGTGGGTAACTCTGTCTGGCTGCGTGCACACACAGCTCACTTTTGCCTGAAGGTTGATTCCTCCTGTATACTCTACAGTGTTAAAGAATGGGGGTGGGTGCGGGGTAGGTGGGAAGGAACAGAGGACTTCAGGAAGGGACGGAAGCGATTCTAGCCCGAGGCCAGGTCACCCGTAGGCCAACACAGTCATTTGGCCCACAGCAGTCTCAAGTGCCTGCTGGAGCAGGGCGGGGTGTAGGGATGAAATCAGCAACAGGCCAGGAGAGCCAGATGTCAGCTGGGAGCTGTCATTTATGATCTGAAGCCGTGATAGAGTGGCCACCTTTGGTTCAGAGTCTTGTGAGCAGCAAAGTTTTGGACTGGCTTCATTAGAATAGCTGGAGAACCCCACCCCACCCCTGATGACACAGAGCTCAGCTTCCAGGACAGTGGTTCCAGGGATAAAGCTGAGCCCATGATTCCAGACGCTCCAGATGAAACCTGGGCAAGGAATAACAGGAGAGGATGAGCTGTCAGTATGGAAGGAGACAGTGGGGCTGCTAAAGCCATTGGGGTGTCCAGGCTGCAGGCAGGACTGAGCAGGGCCACCCAAGCCCTGGGCATCACACAGGGAAGCATGGGTGGGGTAGCCTTCAGTCAGCTGTCCCACCCTCACTATAAGACCTAGGCAGGCAGTAGAAGGTAAGCAAGGCCAGCTCTCCAGGGCTACTGTAAGAGATGTGCCCTGGACAGTGGAGCCTGAAGTACCAAATCCAGTCAGGCAGGTGAGGCCCAGAGAGGGGCACAGGGTAAAAGCCAAGGAGGGTCTCCTCCACTCTTAGAAGGAAGAGCAGCTCTCCAGTCCTAGATCCATACTCTCTCCCTTCTTCAAAGGTTTACTGACCAGACAAAGGTTGTGACCCACTCCATGCTGCCCACTTCTTCCTTTTCCCACGAGTCTCCTGGGTTCCTTTATGTTAGTGGCCCCTGGGAAACCCTACTTCGCCTGGTCTGTGTAATTTCATAACTCTACACTTCCTCGTTTGCTATGAGAGCTAAACGAACCTCAGACAAGCCTTGCTGACCCTCTTTTGACCTCAGTCAAGCTTACCCCAAGCCCCATGATAGCCCTGTTTGTCCCTGATCAGCACAGGCAGGGACAGTGTTCCCCCATGGGCCAGCCAGGCATTCTATTCCACTCACTCCCATCCAGGTTAATCCCACAAACAAGGAAGTAAATGTGTAGTCTTCCTCCTCCCCACGGCCTGGGCCTCTCTGGAAGTGAACTCTGTGACACTATAGCCTGCAGGTTGTCAGATGAGTGTGACTGTGGACAGCACCCCAGGCCCCTGAGACCTTAGGATAATGGCAGTTCTGGCCCCATTCTGAGATCTGCTCTCTCCAGAACTGCAGGGCTGAGTCACTTAAGCTGATTGGGAGAGGAAGGGGAAGATGTTTCTTCAGACGTGATTCTTCATGAACATAACAGAGTTCCTTAAGGATGCTACCAAAACACCTATCTTCCCACCCCTGGATTCTGCTCCAAGACAAAGCACCACCTACCACCCATATACTTTACCAACCACTTTAAGCTAAGAGAATCCACTGGAGTATTATCTTCGGGTGGAGAGCAGTCTGTGCTCAGCAGGTTACGGGTAGGACTATGAGAGGCCTGGCGAAGCTGAGCCACTAAGGGCTGTGTCTGGGCCTACCATCTAGATTCAGGACCCCAACCCTGTGCTGCTTGCCCATTATTTTTGGTAAGAGCACAGACTTAGGAATCGGATTTTCTGGGGTTTGAATCCCTGCTCTGCCACTTACTAACTTTGTGACCTTGAGCAAATTGTTTAACTTTCTAAACCTCAGTTTGTTGATTAATAAGGATGGTAGTAGCACCTATTTACTGGCCATTGTATTAAACGAGTTAATACATGCAAAACAGCCCAGGATCTGGCCAATAATAAGCACTCAGTAAATGGTAGCTGTTATTGTCATAATCATTTTCATTATCATCATCCAATTAGAAACATAGGAATCTTCTAACTAAATGACTCCTGTTACCCATGTCCCTCAAAGGAAGCTCTCTTGGGCAGCTGCATGTTCTCTACGGACCACAGCCAAAAGTAAGAGTGAGGAATGGAGCCTGGGACCACCCGGGGAGTGGGGGCTTTTGAGAGCTGAGGCTGCAGGCAGGGAGGGGCCATCCCTAGGGAAGGCTTCATCAGCCTGGCAGGAGGCTCCTAAAGCTAGCCAGCCACATCCTTGCCTGCCCAGGCCCTGGGAGGGCAGCTGAGCAAGGTCATGTCATGTGAATTCCTTTAACGGGGCCCAGTAGCCCCCACACCACCAGGCTGTGGTTCTAAAAAGAAACCAGGGCAAGGTCTGCTGAGATAGAGATAAGAGTGTCTGCTCCTTGAAACCGTCCGGAGCAAGATAGCTTCTGTGCCTAACTCCCAGATGTTGGCCAGAATTGATTCCTGTCAGATCATTAGCAGAAATCAGATTTAAGTTGGGTAGTTTGACTTTCTCTGTTGTTTCCCCTTCAGTGATTTCAAACTGAAAATAGGCCCAAATTTTGACTGTGTGCACAAAGAACAAAGAGCCATATGTGTAAGCATGGAAGTGCATGTGTACATACCTTGTGGTGTGGACCTGTGACTCTGTGTGAGGAAAGAGTTCTGGAGTGTAGAAGGGGACAATTGGCAAGGGGAGTGACACGCTTTTTCTAACCCCCTGCCTGAACTGAAGGAGGCATACACCTTGAGGCCTTTTGCAAGGAATGATCCCAGTAAGCGTGGAAGGACAGAGGGTGGGTATGGTAAGTGTTGTGGGCTCACAGTCTCCTCTCTCCCCTGCCCTGCTCTGCCACCCACAGGAGGAGGATGTGGTGATTGAAGACTTTGAGGAAGATTCAGAGGCTGAAGGCAGCGGGGGCGAGGATGACATCAGGGAACTTCGGGCCAAGAAGCTGGCTCTGGCCAGGAAGATAGCTGAGCAGCAGCGTCGCCAAGAAAAGATCCAGGTGGGGTTTGCATGAGGAAGGTGGTTCCCATCAAGGTGGTAGCTGCATAGAGCACAAGGGGGGTGTGAGCAGAGAATAGAGATGAACGAGACTCTTAGGAAGAGTCTCACAGTGAAGGAGGAACTAGACAGGACACCTCCCTGCCCCGTTTTCTTCTCCGTCAATAATTCTGGTAGCATTTTTCATGCCTAGAGTCTCCCACCTTCTGGACTCCAAGGCAAGAGCAGGTTCTTCTCAGAATCTGATGAAAGCTTCTCCCCTCATGATGATCTGTGTGTACATACCACACACACACAGTCTTTCACATAATTTCAGGGGTTTCAAAGTTCCCCTGAACTTTATCCAGACACCTCTGGAGAGGCCATGAATTCTTTGTTGAGAACAGCTATTCTCAGGGGAGAGGATGTCCTGGCCAGTCGGCTTATCTGGATTCCCAGCCTAATGGCCAAGCCCCTCTGGACAGAACACTGTAAGCCCTCCCAGAGAGAAACTACTCCATCTCCATGCAAAGACTTGTCCTCCATCAACCCTCCCAGGACCTGCACCTTCATTTCCCCAAGTTTTTCTAATTTATAGCTCTCGCAGGTCTGTCTTCTTGAACCGTAAGCTCACTTCCTCTTATCTAGGCTCCAGGCAGACAAGGAAGAGCTGGTCGTGTGCCCCCCTCTGAAACTGTGCATGGGGAAGTATCAGATCTCTTGAGGGATGTCTGTTTTCAGCCCTGTCTTCAGCCACCCCTTGCCTTTGGCATAGGGCATAGTGCCTTCAGTCAGGCAGACTCAAGCACAGTCTGGGCTCCACCACTTTACCAGCTTTGTGACTCTGGGCAAATTGTTTAACTTCTCAGAGCCTATTTCCTCATCTGTAAAATGCAAGTGGAAACAGCACCTACCTCTTAGAATTGCTGCAAGGCCTACAGGAGCCAATGAGTGCAAAATACTTAGCACAATGAATGGCACACAGTATACACTCCATAAAGGGTCCTTGTGTTCTGTGTCTAACCACTCATCAGACAGAGAACCTTGCCCTGAGAAAGGGAATGACCACCAGCTGGGATTGTTCTTTAGATATATTCATGTCCCCTGCCTGGAACCCAGCATGCGATACCTCTGCCAGCATCACCTGTCATGGGATGGCTGCCTCCTCAGCCCTTCTGTGGTCAGTGTGTAACCGTCTATCATAGACCTCAAAGCAGCTTCGTCCTCAAGCTGTCTTTTCCTGATCTGTGGCTCATTTCTTCATCACTGTCAGTCTTCCCAAAAGTTCTGTCTACACCTTCACTTCTTGATTCTCAACCCAGCAGCTATAGAAGCTGTTGTGTCAGAAGTCACCTAGTACCTGTCTTTATCAAGTCTCGGTCCCCATCGTAGTTGCCTTCTCTGCGGCTTTGAGCCCTGAAGCCACCTTCTTCCAGCTATACTTTAGCACATGTGAGCCCTCATCTCCCCTCTCTCTGTTGACCACACCACCCTCCCAGGCTTCGTCACCACCATTCTTTCTTGGTCTCTTCCTTTCTGTTACTTCTCAGTCTCAGCATGCAGAATTGGCACCCAGCAAATAATCTGTACAGTGACTACATAATAGGCAGGAATAACTAGAGAATCGTCTTAAATTCCTCAGTGGCTTTTAATGCCTCATGTCTGATTTCTTATCAAATCCTACCTAGTCACTCATTTATTCCCTTTTCTCCTCTCTATTCCCATTGCCCCTACTACTGTTCTAATTCAAGTACCAACTTGGATTGTAGCAACCTGCTTTGCACACAACTCCAGGGTATGCTATTTACCTAATAGTCTGTGAAGAGCTCCTCCTGCTGTTACTTAGTACACAGTCTGCATACCAGGCTCCTTTTTCACCTCACTGCTTCCATCGCATCTCACATATTTTCTTCATTCTCATCCCAAAATAGCCACTCCCTTGCTCAGAAATCATCAGTGCCTTTGCTTGTCTAATGAAAGAAAGTCTAATTTCTTACTATGGCTTTTAAGGCTTTCTTGTTTTTTCCAGCCTCTCCTCATATCCCCCAGGAGCCCTTAGTAGCTATATGACATTGGACAAATTATTAACTTCTCTGAGCCTGCTTCTTCACCTCTAAATGAAAGTGGTAACAAGCACCTCCCTCAGATGGTACACAGAAAGTGCCTGTCCAGACACTGAGGCCCTCCTGCCCAGGCAGCAACACTAGCCTTCCTCCTTGTTCCTATGCCCAAGCGTGCTCTGCCCTTTCCAACTCTCTGGTCTTTGTTCATGCTGTTCCCCTCAAACCAGAGTACCCTTTTTCCGCTCCACATTTCCTGTTACCTGTTGAAATTCTATTCCAGTGTCAATCCCCAGATGAAACTCCATCTCCCCAGTGAAGCCTTCCCTAGTTGCCCCCCAGGAGAAATTCATCTCTCTCTGCTCAGTGTTCCTGTGGCACTGATTTATACTTCATTTGTGAAACTTCTATCCTGTCTCATATTACAGTTATTTCTGGACTTGTTTCTCCCACTGTACTCCTTGGGATCAAGTACCACGTCTTAAGCTCAGTTTAGTAAGGCGTGGTGAGCATCTGCTATGCTAATGGTCAGGAGACACAGGAGTGAACCAAAAGTCCTAACCCAGAGTCTACAGTGGAGTGACGAAGCCAGTGCTTTGAGGTTTGAGCGAGCATTGTACAGGATGCTGTGGGAGCACATGCCTCAGGGACGTGGTCTTGTCTAGAGTGCCCTTGTTCAGCTCAGTCTCTGCAGTGATAAGCAGTACCTTACAAATAGGAGGTCTCAGGTGAGACTTGATTTCCGGTGCCCATGGCTGCCCCAGTCCAGGAAGCCTCTTTTCCCTGTCACCTCCTTCAGAGCAGACTACTCAGGCCCAAGCACCGAGGGCTGCTGTGGGCCAGCTGGGGTTTGGCTTGCTGTGGCCCCTTTAAGAATAGGCCCCACATGCACTGCTGCTGGCGGCGCTGCCTCCTGTCAGCCTTCTTCCTCCAGCCTCACAGCCACAGGAGGATTTCTCAGCAGAGGAAAAATTCCCCCCTTCCTTTCTCTGCCCCCCCCCTCTTTTTAATGCCCGGGGCCCTTCACTTCCATAATTCTTCATTTTCCAGCCTTGAACGTAAGCCAGACACATCTGTCTGGCCATATGCGTGAACCCTGGAGTCTGTGCCGAGGTGGCTGTAAAACAGGGCCGGTGAAGGCCCTTCTGGGAGAGCACACACATGTGTGTGCCCTCAGGCCATTGGCTCCCTGCCCAGAACCACGGGGCTGCAGTGCTCCAAACCCATGTTAACCTTTTCTTATTTTTCCTCTTTTTGTTTAATTTAAGGGGGGAAAATCCCAAGGAAAAGGTATAAATTGTCCTGGGAGTGCAGGAGAGGCTTCTAACTGGAGAGGCCATTATTGTTGGCAGGCACCTGGGTCACACTAATACAATAAGGAAGAGAGGAGCATCGAGTGAATTAAGATCGGAGAGATGGGCTATAAATTACACTGCTCTGAACCCCATCAGTCTCTAGGGGTGTTAGCCGAGAGGTGTAAGGCAAGTCCCCAGCTCCCAGCGCCTTTTACAGATGCAGCAGAACAGGAACCACACATGTTTGGGGAAGGGGATATGAAGATGGAGTTGAAAAAACTGGCCCCCATGATGGCTGTAAAGTCCAACTGAGATCTGGGGCTGCAGCCACACCCCCACTTCCTTGCTCCCACCTAGACCCCTGGGTCTAAGCTCATCTGTGGGGGTGGGGGAGGTGAGGCTTGGCCTCCCTCTTCAGCTTGTCCTCCCTGCTTCCGGCGTTGCACAGAGGATGGTGAGTGGGACCGACAGGAGGTCAGAAAAGGGGTGTGGGCAGTTTTCAGGGCTTGTGCAGCTGGAGCTGCGGTGCCCAGGCAGGCCCCTGGATTCTGGGGGTCAAGTCTGCCCACCTGGGGATTTGAAGTCCTGCTTCCTCAGCTCAGCCCAGGCTTTGCCTTTTGCCTGAGAAAGTTCATATCGGTTTCGTTCTCCCACCTTACTGCTTCCTTTTCCTTACTGCCGAAGTTCTTTTTGGTCCCATTGCCATTTTGGGGAGGTGTCTAGAGACCAGAGCGCAGAGTACATGGTTGTGTCTGAGAACTTGGTTAGAAGTGTTTCATTCCTAACCAGGCCCCCATGGCAAAGCAGTCACTGAAAATCCTCCTCTAGGAATGAGGCATGGCCACTTGGCACCTCATACTGGCCCTGGCCCTGTGAATACCCCGCCTCCTCTCTGCCTTCACAAGGCTGTGCTGTGATTTGTGCTGCTGTCGGGCGGGGTCAGGTTTCCTGAGCAGTTGCAAACATCCCACCTGAAACATAACAGGCTCTTCCTCTGGCCACAGCTATTGTTTCCCTCAGCATTATGGCCACAGTCTTGCTCTCTAGCCAGCAATGACATGTTTTCTGAAAATAGCTTTGCTCCCCTGTCCCCTTCCCGCCCACCCACCCTCCTGAAGATGCAGTCACTCCTTTGTGGTGGCCCCAGGAGTTTTACTCTAAATATAGCTGCAGCCCATTCACATTGCCACCCAGCTGGGGGTGGGGGGGCTCTGTGGAACAATGGGGCATGCACAGAGCCCCCCACACCTGTATGGAAGCTAGCGGAAGACAGACACTCAGCCCTGGCTCCTAGCTGTCGGATGCAGGGTGGGAGCCAGTGCGCTACCAGGCCAGGGGCACGTTCACGCCAGGGCAGGAAAGCACATCAGCCTGTGGAGCCAGGCAACTGCCCTCCCTTTTCAAGCCTGTTCTACAGCCCATTCATGCTTCCCCACAGACTGGTGCTGGGCCTCCAGTTTGCTCCAGCCACTCTCACCAACCTGGTTCTGGCAGCATCCACAGGGTCGTGTCCCACAGAATGATCAGGCCATTGGCTGAACACCTTAGGCTGCTGCTAGGAGCAAGCTCAGAGGTGTCCTGTTTATTAGCCCTGCCACTCCCTCTCCATCAAGTGAGGGCACACTTCTTGGGCGTTCTCAGGACAGAGTTAACAGAGACAATTTGGTCAGATTGCCTTTAAAGTGCCCTTTAACTCTGAGATTCTGTGATTTAACTCATTGAGCTCCTATGATATATCAAACTCTACTCTAGGTATTGTCAAAGAAAAGAAAGTGGTTTCCTTGAGCTCCTTACAGTCTAGTTTGAAAGTAAGATTGGTCCTCAGAACAGTAAGATGTAGTAAGCAGGTCATCATATTTATAACTTTAAAAAAAGAAAGCAGACTCTGTGGTACTGACTTTGGACATCCAGGGAAGGACTCCTAGGCAGAAGTTTTCCCATGAGCATCCCATCCCAAAGGAAGATGCTAACCAGGCTGCTCCTGGGGGAGGCTGGCAGCCCTGCCTGCTTTAGGGAGCAAATGCAGGGTCTGCTCCCCTTTGATATCTGCGACTCGAAGGAACCACCTGCCTGAACTGTCGGTGGTTATCTCATTAACAATTCCTATTTTCAAATTTCATTTCCATTTTCCATTTTTCATTTTTTTTTAATTCGTTCAAATAATTAAAGGGAAAACAAGAGTACCATGAGTTTATGAGAGAAATTGGTGGAAGTCCTCTCCATCACCCCTTCCCATTTCTAGCTCTACTCCCTCCTGGTTTGCCCCAGATATTCGCCCTTGTTGGATATGTGGGAGAGGAAACATGGGCTTGGTCAGGAAGAAAGGAAACTGACATTTGTTCAGTTACTAACACACGTACCAGGCATTTTGCTCAGTACTTTCATGCACGGTGCTCATGGAAGTTTGCTTTGTTACAAGACTTCTCATTTCTGGTGAAAACATTGCTCTGGCCAGAGAGGCCCAGGGAAAAATGAGTCCATCAACCTGTGGAAGAAAGGAGGCAGCCACACTGTATGTGGAGCCCTAAGCAGAAGGAAGACTTAAGAAGGCCTTCTCTTTATCTGACTCTGCCTCATGACCCAGGTTCTTCAATTTCCACAGCTCCTGTGTAAGCTAATTGAGTTACCTTTTGTAATTCTCAGTGTCTCAATTTTCCCCAAATCATCCCCTCTGTCTCAAAGAAGGAACTTTACCTGTAACCATGCCCTTCCTGGGGACCCGTTGCCTCTTAGTTCCTCATCAGCTGGTACTGTGGATTCTCTCTTTCCCAGCCCCCCACCCACTTTCCCCAGGATACTCCCATACTTCAGAGAGCGTTGGTTACTTAGCACTTCCCAGAAACAAAAAGTTCTTTTTCTCTTCCACACTTGATGACAGCCTGATCCTTATTGCCATTGGTCTGATTCAGAGTGTTGTGCTTTCCATGGGTTCCCAGGTCACTGTCCAAGGACCACTGTGGACCAGCCTTAGCTGCAGTGGGAAGGGCTCCTATGGAGCTCTCCTTCCGGGTCAGCACACTTGACTCCAGGCCAGGGCCAGTCTGTCTGAATCACAGCATTCCAACTGCGCCCCCCTCACCCTCTCCAGAGGCTTCTGCAGCTTTTTACTCATACAAACAAAAATAAATCTCACTACCGGCCTCTGAACTCCACAGCAGCATGCTTCCCCTTCTCCCCAAGTGTCCCATGGATGTGAGTGGGGACTTGGCACTCTCCCCACCGACATCACTTTTTCACTCCCTGCGCATCCTGTGTCCTTCTCTCACCGTGCGACCCAGAGATCAGAATGGGACGTGACAGCCGGCACAGGCGCCGTACACAGCTGCCAGGAATCTGACGGGTAAAATCTGGAAAAGTTGGGAGGGCAAATGCTAAAGACACACACACGCGCACACACACATGCACAGCGCCACAGAGAGGGCCGGAAACACAGACACCCACAGAAGAGGGCCTGCAGATTCTGGGTCCTTCCTCTGTCTGCCATTCTTTTGAAGGGGACTGGGTCAGTCTTGTGACCCAGGTATGACTCCACCCCCACTCTGAAGAGGCCCATTGGTACCCCAGAAGAAGAGAGAGCAGCTTCATTAAAACCTCCTGAGACTTTGTGAGGGCATGTGGGGAACAGGAAGCAGTTGTGCGGTGACTCACTGGGCAGAGCCAGGTTAAGGGAAGTTGTCTGCGGGCGTCCCTGGGACCGGATGATGGCAGCACAGCTCTGACCACCCTCATACAGCTTGATCCACCCCACGGGAACCGAGAAGTCTGCCACCTCCGTAAGAGGCTGTGGCCTCTGTTTACCTTCCTGGCTTTGAGCCAGAGCTCAAAGAACTCAGAACTTCCCTGGATGAATGCTGCTCCTAGATTTTTCCTCCATCCTGTCATCAGAACACACAAGTAGGCCCAGTTAGGCCCCAGCGTCCCTTGTCCACCTGGTTGAAAGGCCCTCCTGCCTACTGCCCGCTCTAAAGGTAGGATGGCACAAGGTCTTAGGGGCTTATTACTCACTCGGTGAAAAATGGCAGCCAGTTCTACTTCCTTAGATTCAAACCAGGGATGGAATATCATTTTTGGAGACAGGAAAACTAAAACAGGAAAGGCGTCTCAGTGAGGTGGTGGCAGAGATTCAGTCTGTTAGGACCCTGGGGCCCTGTCACTGCAGGTGCCAGTGCCCCCTGTCCTCCTCCAGCCACGGTCAGTGCTTATTCTGTTCATTCTTGCCCAGAAAGACAGAAATATGGGGGCCTGTCATACCAAGAAAAACATTCCTGTCAGGGGAAAAGCTGAATAGAGAGCACCAGGATCTGGGAAAATGAGGGACAGGAACTCATGCACCCTCTGTGCTTGTGAGGAGAGAGGAGAGTTAACGAAACATGGGGAGACTATTCCTGTTCATACAAAATGCCCAAAAAAAAAATAAAAAAAAAAAAAAAATGCCCACGCCTTACACAGTGTTACATGTCAATTTTATCTCAATAGAAAGTAAACTTAACAAAATGTCTCAGCCTGGTTTGGTGGAATGTTTGTCACCCTTTAGTGGGCAGCCCCCTGGCAGGGGACAGTGACCCAAGTACCCTGGGAAGGTGGCCAGCAGCAGGGGTGCTTTCCCGCCATGGGGTGAGAGCAGTAGGAAGGTGGCGGCAAACTGGGCCTCTCAGCTGCATTTCTCATGCCTGCCAGTTCCCCATGGCCTATGCCTGCCACCAGCTGTGGTGTACTTACTCATAGGGAGAGGTCCCCAGCAGGTCACAGAGAAGCCACCCCCAGCATTCAGAGGCATGCCCTTTCAGTTTTACTGTCATTGCCAGTGAAACCTGAGCGCCTTCCTCACTGACTGTTGGTGGCCAGGTCTCAGCACTGAGGCCCCATCCCAGTTGGCACGCACATCCACGTCCCCTGTCCCATGCCTGTATCTGTGGCCTTGCAGTTGCCGTGTAGCCAAAGGCCATGAGAGGGTGTGGCAGGGCTGGGATCTGCTTGCTTGCCTCTGCCAGGTTTGTGTCGGCTTCATACACAGGGAGCACACTGGGCAGATGCCAGCAAATCAGTTTGCTTCTTGGCCATGGTTGCCAGAAGAGGAAGCCACACAGTAATGGCAATGTTCTATAGTGACAGATATACCCAGAGAGAGCCTATCTTAGAGGGCCGCTGCCACACAAGACTCTGTCAGACTTGAGAAAATCAGGTGTTCACAGATGTGCATGGAACTTCTCTGAAGGATGTGAGCATCCGTAAGCTTGACAAACTCTGGGCCACGTGCTCTCCTAGCTGTGGTGCCCAGACCACTGGTGCTCCACAAGGTGGATTTTTAGTGGGGAGATAGTGGGACTTTGTTATGGAAGTGTAGCTTCTACTAGGCTGTCAAACCCTTGGTACCATGGATATCATTGCTTAAGAAGAAGCTAAGCAAAAAATTGAGTTGACTTAAAGTCAACTTAATGACAAACATCAAGTAAATAGTACAACAAATAAATTACACAGAGTTTTGGCAAAGGAACGCAAGTAGAACACAAGACACTAACGTTTAGGGGGCACTGCTGGTGGGTTGAGGGTTGGTGAAGGCGGTGGCAGTTCTCACCAATCTGGGTGTTGGTCTTTTCAAACATGTGAGTTGGGTCCTAAGTCATCCCACCCTATGGACTCCTGCTGCTATGGGAGACTGGTATTATTACTTGTCAGCATCATTTTTGGGGGGACAGCCTTCGAATTTAACTTTTTTTTTTAACTACACAGTGAAGTAAATTGAAGTAACAAATTCTATTTGGGAAACACACACACACACACAGTGTTTGGATTGAGAAGTACACACACGTACACACACACAGTGTTTGAATTGAGAAGTACCCCCCATATGCTGAGTAGATAATGTGTGTGAAACCACTTTCATATCCAATGATCCTAACTCTCCCTTGTTGATTTTTAGCCCAAGGCCTGTCTTACTTAGAGACCTGTTATTTTTAATACCTTCAGGGTCCTTTCTCAGGACCTTAGCAGGGTTTTAGTCACGCCCAATTCCCTGGACCATTTGGTCTGTGTTGGTTTTTACTGCTGTGCTTTACCCAGCCCTTGGCCTGTTCCTCGGGCCTGACAGGGGGCTGGTTATTTCTCTCCAAGGGGAAGAGGTTGCGGGACAGGATGCTGACACGCTATGGAATCAGGGCTCTGGCTCACCCTCCCACTTGCCTGCTCACTCTCTGGCTCACTCACCATTTTGTGTCCCTGTAGGCTGTCCTGGAGGACCAGAGTCAGATGAGGCAGATGGAGCTCGAGATCAGACCTTTGTTCCTCATACCAGACACCAATGGCTTCATTGACCACCTGGCCAGTCTGGCACAGCTGCTAGAGAGCAGGAAGTACATCCTGGTGGTGCCCCTCATCGGTGAGTCAGGCCAGAGCAGCTGTGCACATGCACCACAGCCCCCTCTACATACATGCCCCACAGCCCCTAGGCCAGGAAGGCAGAACCCTGCTGTGTGTATAGGACAGGATTTGCAGGGAAGCAGGGTATGCATGGGGCAAGGAAACTTGTTTAATAATCAAAGCAGTTCAAATTATTATGGTTGATCCATGGCTTAAACTGCTTGAGCAAATGGACTCCTGTGTCCCAGCAACCAGAGGCTGCATGAGCCCAGCCCTTGTTTTTATCCTTATAAAGCTTGCAGTAAAACAGAAAGCTGGTTCCCGTTATTGGTAAACACTCAGCCCTGGCAGATAACGGCAGCGCTGCTGGGTGGTCTGGCAGGGAGGCTGGGAGGATTTTGAAGTGGTTAGATGCCTTTGGTCTGATTGTCTTGTAGCTTTTCATGATCATCTGTTGGTTCGAGGTAGCATTCTTCTGGCCAATGTCACCCTAAGGCCAGGCCGACAGAGCAAGCCCTTGGCTCATGCCTGTAGATTTCTGCCACTTGGGCCCTGGTCATTTGGTGCTGGTGCAGGGTCAGCATCTCAGGGCCCAGCTAGCTTGCCGGAGGAACCCAGCTGGGCTGTCACCAGGAGCCTGTCTAGGCACCCTTAGTTCTTGGGTTTCTGTGGTGGTTCAGCCTCAGGATAGGCTTTGGACTCCGGGCCCCTGTGTAGTATAACTGATACAGTTGATACAGCTGATGACTGTCCTGTGGAGGGAGAGGATCTGGAATGATTGGGAAGTTCAGGCATTTTTTAATGTCCCCTTCTCAGCAGCCACTTGGAGTAAGTTTGGGAGCCCTGTCCTCTGGAAAAGTTGCCAGACTGGCAGTCTGCCTGCCAAGCCACCTCTGACATGGATGCCAAGATCTTCCATTGGGCCTTCCCTCCCAGTCCCAAGTGTCTTAGTGCCAGACAAGGGTGGAAACAAAGGGCAGGAAACATCCGCCCTTGCAGAGGCTGTAGAACCCTGGGGGGTTGTGGGAAACACGTTAGCACCACCTGAGAATGTTGGCACTGAAGCAGCCCTCCTCCCGCCTCCACCCTCCCTTGTCTTCCTTCCCCCTCCCCATGTGGCCTGGCCAGAGCCTCTTAAACCCAGGACCTTAGACCTAAGGGAAGGTTTTTGCTCTTCAAAAGTAGGGCAGCTTTCTCTCCCCAAGGCAGAGCAGTGAGGCCATCAGTTAGTCGTTAGCTTCCCCCCTCTCTCTTCTCTGGATCCTGGGGCAGGCCAGATTTCAGGATAATACATCTCTGTGCTTTCCCACCCAGGAAATTTTCAGGGGGAAGAAAGTGAATTGGTCATTTTTGTACTAGATGGAGGAAATGGTATAACCAGGAGAGGATGCTGACAGTCAGGAGCCCCCTAACATTTAGAAGGAGCCTCCCTCAGACACTGTCCCAGGCTAGCAGGGCAATTGGTCACCAGCATTGATTGTGGCTTTACCATCTGTTCAGTCTTCTTGTCTCTGGGGGTTAAAGGTAGAGCTGCAGCCCTTGGCCTTCAGGAATTTACAGTTCCATGGAAAAGCCAGATTTGGTGGGGAGGGAGCAAATATGCGAGAAAACCCAGAGGACAGAATACATGCAGAATAAGTAGATGCCCCCAAGGGTGTTGGGAAATGACACCACTGTTACAGGAGCCCCTGGCCAGCCTCTGTGAACCTTCCTCAGCTGAACAGAGTCCTGGACTCCCAGGGGCTGTAGAGGGACTCCTCTTCAGTGAAGCTCCCTCAGCAGACTCCTGCCCTGTGCCCAGAACACACAGGGTTAAGCTGTCTGCCTGTTTCTTGTGCTCTTTAACCTGCTCCTGCTCATTAGGCCTGACCCTAGCATCAAGAAGTCCAGCCTGATGCAGAAGCACAAACAAGTTTCCCCTTTGAAGCCTGTTTAGTTTGGAAGCAGGAAAGCAGTTTTGGGGATGGAATACCAGTTTTTTGTGTTTGATGTTGTTTGCCATACCATACACTCATCCAGCACTATTCCCCACTCCCAGCCATACATTGTGTGGACACTGCGTCCTCTGCAGCCTCCGGTTGTTGAAAGTATGGGTGTCGTGTGTGTGTGTGTGTGTGTGTGTGTGCGCGTGCGGTGTGTGTGTGTGTGTGGTGTGTGTGTGTGTGTGTGTGTGTGTGGTGTGTGTGTGTGTGTGTGTGTGTGTGTGTGTGTTCCCACATGGGGCCTTTCCAGAAAGTATCTCTGAATACCCAGACAGTGAGTGCCAGGCTCACCATGGGACAGCATGCTCATGCCGACTCCCCAAGCCATGAATCATTGCACTGAACAGAGGCCTCAGACCCCAAACTCTCCCGGAGCCCCCAAGGAGCGCATATTTCCCACTTGACCTCAGGCTTTTGGCTGGAATTTTGGAAAGAATCTTCACCAGAAAATGAAGCCATGTCCCAGACACATAGGCAGGCAGGCAGACACACACACACACGCATCATCAGAGGAGGTAGATGTGCCAAGGGCATGGTTCACACACACACACACACACACACACGCACCATCAGAGGAGGTAGATGTGCCAAGGGCATGGTTCTCTCACACACACACACACGCATCATCAGAGGAGGTAGATGTGCGAAGGGCATGATTCCGGGGAATACCAGGGTTCTTGCAAGTGAGGCTGTGATTACCACTTCCCACATAGTGACCCCCTGCATTCTGCCAGGGTTGGGATGCTGCTGTGGTTGGGGGCTGAAGTGGATGAGGGAGAGTGCCTCTTCCCTTTCACTGCTACATAGCCTTGCCCCTCCTGAGGGACCCTTTCAATTTGATCCTGTAATTAAGGAATGCAATGAAGGGGCCAGTTTTCTTCCTCTGAATACGGCAGCTCCAGAAAAACCCCTGTGGGTTCCTCCCATGAGGAGGATGGGCACCAGGGGAGCAGGCAGAAAGAGGATAGAGCAGTGTGCAGAATCTGGGACACTTCCTGCCTCAAGGTCCCTTGATTTCCCTGGAAGATTCCTGTGGTGTAGGGTAGATTCTGTGGGGCGGGGTCAGCTGGGAAAACAAGGCATAGGGTGAAGGTAGTACTGATTGTTGAGACTGACACCTTGTGGGACTGTGTCTCATCAGTGATCAATGAACTGGATGGCCTGGCCAAGGGGCAGGAGACAGATCACCGGGCTGGGGGCTATGCTCGTGTGGTGCAGGAAAAGGCCCGGAAGTCCATAGAGTTCCTCGAGCAGAGATTTGAGAGTCGGGACTCTTGCCTTCGGGCCCTGACCAGCCGTGGCAATGAACTCGAATCCATCGCCTTCCGCAGTGAAGACATCTCTGGCCAGATGGTAAGACCTGTGGCAGAAAGAAAGGGAGAGCCCACAGCCAGCCTTCAGAGCAGGGTCTCCAGGAGGGAGGAGCTGCCGGAAGCTCATTCAGCCCAGGTGGCTGAGGGAGCAGCCTCTATCGAGGCCTAGGATGGGGGGGTTCCTTGTCCCCTGGATCACTCTTGGCCCAGTTGGCTCTGGCCGAGCAGGGCAGGGCCTGTATGGGAGAGATGCGATGTGATCCTCCCCAGCACCCCAGAGGCAGAGTATGCCTGGCCTCCCCATGGCGCCCTCTCCTGCTCAGCAACATTTCTAACACTGTTCCTCCAGGGTAACAACGATGACCTGATCCTCTCCTGCTGCCTCCACTATTGCAAAGACAAGGCTAAGGACTTCATGCCTACCAACAAAGGTACAGCTTTGCCTCTACCTCGACATCACCCATCTCCCCACCTACCTCAGCCTGCCACCCTCAGCCCTTGGGAAGGGTCCCTCCACTGATACCAGCGTGGGAAGTTTAAAGAATCAAGGGTCAAGCCAGAGGCCAGCCCAGTTTCCTGCCCTCCTGGAAGTCAGACCTCCCTGTCACAGCTCCCCCACCCCCAGGTAGACCCTGGGCCAACTAGGGATGGGCCTACCCCAGAAAGCCAGGCTCTAGGCTGTGAGCCTTTCCACTCAGCATGCGTCCATTTCCTGTCTTGGGTCCTCAGTGAATTCTTTGACAGCAAGAATGTCTTTATGATGCAGCGTAGCTTATTCTGGCCATGGTCTCCTGGGCTTAGCCCTCTGCAGTTCCGAGGATAATCCCCAATAGTCCCTTGGGCTCACCTCCCCTTCCTTGTCAGTGTTACCCTCTCAGTCCACCCCTGATCAGCTTACCCTTCTGTCAGACTAGGGGTAAAGGCACTTCCCCAGCAAGTCTCTGTGTCAGGTTCTGTAGCACCTTGGAGACTGGTGAGAGCTTGAGGACTGAGCCCTCTGCCCAGTGGTCAAGACCTTTTTGGTGAGCAGAATCCTGCCCGCCCAGGGGCTCTCTTCCAGGTGCTTAAAGCACCTCACCCTTAACCTAGAACCGTCTTTCATGCACAGGCCCTCAGAGTCAGTGAGGCACAGTTCTCTGCTTCTGGCTCCCAGGACTCTGACATTTCTCCTTTTGGAAGGTATTCCTAGGACCTCTAGCTCAGTGTCTTTTGCAGAGCTGATCCTTCCCACGGTTTGGTTTCTGTCTGCATATATGCAGTCTCTTGTCATTTTCTTCTGGGAAGTGCCACCCATCACTCTTCTCCTAGCCCCAGCTTCCAGGGTGCTCTAGGGATTAGCCTCTCTCCCACTGCTCCTCCAGTCACATTAACACAGCCCCCCCACTCCTACCTGAGTCTGTATCCGCTTACAATTGCTTTTCTTCAAAGGGGTCCTGCCACGTGGCTTGCACATACTGTCCCTTAGGCCAGATCTGGAGCATTCAGGTGGTAAAAACAGAGTCATGGTGAGCTTAGGCTGTGCTCCCAGGCAGCTTCCCAGAGGGGCACCTTCTGAGGGAGAGGTAGCCAGGACTGCAGAGGGCCTTGTTGGGAAGTATGGTTCAGATATTGCTGTGGCCCCACCCCGCCGCAGCGCTGTTTCTTTCTTAGTGGAGACACAGTTTGGCTTTGGCCCTACTAGCTGCCCCACACCCCACTCCACCCCAAACAGCCTGCAGGAACCCATTGCCATCCTGGGGACCGCCCCTATCAGAATTACATCAGCAACGGCTGGTGTAATCAAACCCCATTTGTCAGTGTGAATTCTTAGCAGATTAACTTGTCAGATTCACAGAGAAACCGTCACCAAATGTTTATGTGTAAACGATGTTGAATTTTAAAATCATGTGGATTATGGCGGATGGGGCCTGACAAGATGACAGTCTCTGGTTTCTAACAAAGTGAAGTTACCAGTGTCAAAACAGAGGATGTTTATTGTTAGAAATGTCTCAAAGTATCCACAGAAACCCCTGCAGACCCCTGCCAACAAGGCCGGGACATGGTTGGCTGCCCTAAGGCCTGAGACCTTCCTGGTCTGAGTCCCAGGGCAGGAATGGTGGGGCTCTAAACAGCTTTGGGCAGCCACTGGGAGCCCCACACAGCACCACACAACACTACCCCATCCCACCCACACCCAGGCCCATGCAGCTGAGTGGTCACAGAGTCTCTCTACCTGTGGCCTGCCGCCTTCCTCTCCCTTCTTGCCCACTGTAGGCCCCCAGCTCCCATAATACCTCCTTCCACCTCTCCCCTTTTCTCACCACCATCAACCCCATGAGCCCCTCCCTCTCTCTTCCCCCAGACTCTTTCTGAGGCCAACAGCCAGTTCTCAGCCTCCCAGCCTGGAGCTGGCAAGTCTGGAGCTGCTCAGGTCTCACTGGGATGTTTGCAGCCCCAGCCCCGCCAGTCCCCGCAGGTTGTAGGCCTACAGGGTTTTTCCTGTGCCTCACTGCCTCCCTGACCTCTGTTGGGAAGTATGCAGCCCAGGTCTGAGCAGTGAACCTCCTACCCAAGCAGCCTTCCCAGAGACAGGGATGTCACTTGTGTGAGTACTTGACCCAGTTTAAATTGTCCCCAATATATTAAAGACTAAGAAATTAGGGGAAGAAAAGCGGTGGCAGACATCCCAATAAAAAAGTCATCTCAAAAGAATGAAGACTATCTGTGCTGAAATAGATCTTTAAAATACACATTTGAATAAAGTTTAGTGGGATCATAAAGTTGTGAGGGAAAAAGGCTTATATAACATGTGCTTGTGCATGTGCATAAAGAAATCTGGACACATGCACAGATCTACCTGGGGGTAGACACATGGAGAATAAGAACCGGGAGGATGATCCTGGCTTCCCCTTTCCTTTTTCCTTTTCTGTGTTGTTACATGTATTACTTCTATTTAGAGGAAATCATTTGGCTGTCGCCTCAGGTCTACCTTGCCCTCCTCTCCTCAGAGTTCCCTTGAACTAACCCTTACCCTTCTCTTCACATCTGGGAGCCCTAGAGACAGTTTGTTTTCCATTTTGAGCTTTCTACCTCTTAATACGTATAGGGTGGCCCTGCTGGCCTTGGAAGGAGAGGATGTGCAAAATAGAGTAGTGATCTGAGTCCGGGACCAACCGTGCAGTAAGGAATAGAAGGAAAGGGGCTTCTCCCTCAGTTCAGAGTCCTGAGAGAGGGGTCTGCAGGGGCCGGCAGTTGAGCAGCTCTCAGGGCACGAGGCAGCACAGTCCAGTGCCAGAGGCAGGGGTCTAAAGCCGGAGGCCAGCCCCGGGCCAGCACGGCCCTCTCTAAGCCAGCAGGGAGGGAACACCCTCAGCTGATTGCGTGATGGCAAGAACTTTGGAACAGCCAAAAAATGGCTGGCCTTGACCCTCCAGAATCAGGCTCCCCTCAGAGAGAGGAGAGGCATCCAGTGCCTGGTCTTCCTGCCCTCAGTGGAGCCCTTCTCTCTCATGTCAACAGAGGAGCCAATTCGGCTGCTACGGGAGGTGGTGCTGTTGACAGATGACCGGAACCTGCGTGTGAAGGCGCTGACAAGGAATGTGCCTGTACGGGACATCCCGGCCTTCCTCACATGGGCCCAGGTGGGCTGAAGGGACCGCACTGGGGCCCACCCCCACAGAACCATTCCTGAGAGGCCATCAGGCACCCAGTGTAACACGGAAGATGCCCGGGTACCTGAGCCACCAATCCACCCAGACAATAAACCATCCTCTTCCAACCCACTGTGGTCATGCTCTGGGGGAGCTGCTCCTCACAGAGCCCTTCCCAAGGGTTGGGCAGAAGCTGCTGGGACTCTCCTGGGCTGCAAGATTTAGCAGGGAGGTGGCTGGCTACAGTGACAGCAGGTGGTGAGCCAGACAGTGCCCATGCTCTCAGCCTTTCTCCCTCCCCATTCTAGGTCAAGGGCAGGAGGGAAGGCCCTTTTAATTCCAGGGACTCAGTCACTTTCTCAGCTGGAGATGGGGCAGGGGGTTGAGTTTCCATCAAATATAGGTGAAATCACAGGTCCTGTTAATCTTCAGAACTCCTGTACTGAATGTGTCCAAGAGCCTCTGATGCTACCATGAAGAGAGTGTCCAGGGTGTCTCCCCCTGAGGCCTGGATTCCCCCAGGGACCCAGGTTGGGTTCTCGACACCATGTCCCAAACAGCAGCCCTAGGCCCCCACCTCGTCTACCCCACTACCACCTGCCACACACACCCATCTTGCTTCTCTTCTTCCTGCCCTTCTCCATCTCGGTCAATTGCACTTTGCCCCTTGTTTTTCCCTGAGGTGGCCATGGGTCTAGAGGAACGGGACATCTGGTCTCAGGCCCGTGCTTCCTGGGTGGCCTTTGCCTGCTCCCTCTCCCCTCCTTGGCCTTCCTTTGCTCTGGTTCCCACTTCACAAAATTTCCTCAGACTCTTCTCAGTTCTCCCCTCCCTTTCCCTGTCCTCTCCCGCTCCAAAGTCGTCCCTCTCACCTTCCTCCCCTTTCTAGGTGATCCCTCTCACCTCCCTGGTCCCTCAGTTTTTTCACCTCAGTTCTATCACAGGGCTTTCTCACTCTGAATCTTCTCCTCCACTTCCTGTGGCAGGAATTTAATTAACCTTTTATCGCTCATAACTTTCTTTTCCAGGCCCCTGTGCTCAAGAAACTTCCAAGCCTATATAGCCCATCCTGAGGGTAGTGTGTTGCAGAGCCTAGGAGGAGCAGTGCCTAGCCTGGAGTTGACACCCTGTTTCTAGCTTTGCCCCAGAACTGGGGCCCTTTGGCCTTTTGAGTTTTTGTTGCCTTTTTAGCTGGCACCTGTGTACAAAGTCTCACTCAGGAGGCTTCCTCCTGGGAATGCAATTCTCCCAGCCCAGGGACAGGGATGAGAGGGACTCAGGGGGAGACAGGTTTTTGAGGACCCAAGAGTAAATTTTGATGGGACCAGCAGGGAAAAACCCAGAACACCCTGACTGTACAGCCCACCCAAAGAGCAAGGCTGTGCCCTCCCTCAAGACCCAAGATTATGCCAGGAGGTGGGAAAGGGGGTGCTGTTCAGGAAAGCAGTGGCCAATAGTTTCGGGGTATGAATACCCCAGGAATTCAGAAGACTGGGCTTTTTGGGCTACAAGGTCCCCCCCCGTCTCTCCTTGGAGATCCTCTCCCCTGGATGAAGGTTAATGACTGGGTGGGTAGGTGGGTGGGAGACCCATCTCTCCTTTCTGTCCCATTTGCAGCACTGGTTTGGTTTCCTTAATAAATGTTTAGTTATGAAACATACATTATCTCTTGCTCTTCTGTCTCTGGGACTGGGGAGAGAAGAAGGCCCAAGCCTCTGCGCCTGCACCTGTGTGAGAGTGCCGTATTTAGCCCCTCCACCCACCCTGGTGTGGCTTTCCCAGGTCCTTGTGCAGGTTGGAAGAGAGCAGTGGGGCCGGGATCCTTGGTTACTGCTTTATTGCTGTTTGGATAGACTATAGAAAATGGAAGCGGCTCTGGAAGAGCCTGTGTACAAGGAAGGAAATATACAAACGAGAAGGGAGCTAAAGAGACCACGTTCCAGCCCAGCCTAGCCTGGGCTCGGGGTGGGGGACCACCCGGGGCGCATGCAATAAATATGGTCCGGGGGGCCCCAGGGAAGGGAGCGGGGACACGGCGGGAGTGGGAGACCTGTAGGCCAGGGCTTTCAGCCCTCAGACTCCAGAGGGAGAGAAGGATTGGCCCTGGGGCTAGTGCCACTTGTGCAAAATGAGGAACTTCACATTATCAGTCCCGGGGCGGGCAGGAGCAGGGGAAGGGGCCCTCCGGCCGGCTCAGTCCCCTCCCTGCTCCCTAACTCTGCCCAACGCTCCGACCCCAGCAGGGAGATTCACAGTGAGAATGGGTGTGGTCGCAAGGGCCGGAGGTAGGGCTGGGAGTGCCCCATCAGTGACACCCCTCCCCCCAAGAGCAGCACGGAGCCGGGGAGGGGGCCAACGAACCACAGGAAGAGGCGGAGAAGGGCCGGGGGTCTCCTTTGGTCAAAGCTGATATCAAAAATATAAATCTCCCTTCCCCCATCCCACCCCCGTCCCGGGGTTTTACCCCTACCCCCACCCCCGGGCTAAGGCACAAAGCAGTGAGGCCAGGTGAGGCCGCAGGGTGGTGGAGCCGCCGCCGCTGCTACTAGTTGTCTGGGCGCTGTGTGCCTGCTCGCTGCCGCCGCCGCCGCCCCTCCCTGGTGGCGCGGGCTGGGGCCACGCGTCGGCGACGAGGCTGGCTGCCAAGAGGCGCTCTAGGTCGGGGAGAAACGGTCGATGGTCCGGCCGTCCGGCCCGGCGGCCAGGTGCGCGCCCTGGCTCAGCACCTCCGCCGCCTTGTCCGGGCTGAGGCCCAGCTCCGCTGTGAACTTAGCCAGCGGGTAGAGGCTCTCGAGCGCCACCTTGGGGTCGTGCAGGAAGTGCGTGGTCTGCGCCAGCAGCTCGGCCGCAGCCGCCTTGTCCTGCTGCTTCAGGCTCAGCTGTTCAGCTGTGAGGCGGGCCACAGCAAAGACGCCCTCGGGAAAGTCGAGTTTGCCCTTGCCGTCGGGGCCGGCGACGCCGGGCAGCCCACCAAGGCCGGCCAGCGCCCCCGCTGCGCCGGCCGCGCCACCCACGGCGTGCATCTTCATGTGGCTGATGAGGTTGCGTTGCTGTGCGAACTTGCCACCACACACCTGGCACTCGTAGGGCTTCTCGCCTGAGTGGATGCGCATGTGCTCGGTGAGGCGGTACTGGCGCGTGAAGCGCATGCCGCACGCGTCGCAAGCGAAGGGCTTGAGACCCAGATGGCTGCGCATGTGGCGCGTCATAGTCCCACGCTGCGTAAACTTCTTCCCGCAGATGGTGCATGGATAGGGCCGGGTCAGCCAGTGCGTCTTCTCGTGCTGCCGCAGCGTGGCCGGGTCCTTGTAGCTCTTGTCGCACGACGCGCAACGGTACGGCCTCAGCAGCTCTCCCAGGCCGCCCGGAGCCCCAGAGACCTTGTCCCCACCGCTCCCAAAAGGGGGCCCCAGGCCTGCAGCCCCGGCAGCTACCTCAGCCGCCTCGGCCCTGCCATACAGCGCCTCCTCCTCCTCCACGTGAGCCTCCACGTGCGCATTCAGCTGCTCAGAGCTGGGAAAGCCCTTGCCGCACGGAATACACACATACAGGTTGTCACCGAAGCTCTCAGGCTCGCCATAAGCCAGGTGCGGGCATGGGTAGCCCTCCAGGTGACCGCCGGGTGGGCTTGGGTCCTCGCTGCTGCCGGTCTCCTCGCTACTGCTCTTGTAGTCGTCGCCGTCGCCGCCCGCTCCAGGCCCGTCCAGGCTGCCCGGATAGCGCGGCGGAGCCAGGCCAAGCGGGGGACCCCCGGGCGAGGCGGCTGTGTCCCCGCCACGGTCCTCGCAGCGCTCGCCTGGGGAGCCGCGTTCCCGGCCCAGCTCATCGCCGTAGCTGCCCAGGCCTGGCTCGTGCTTCATCCAGCGGTAAAGGAGGCTGGGCCCGTCGGGGCGGCCGGGGGGCTCGGGTCCCGGACTGCTGCTACTACCACGAAACGGGTCCGGAGGCGGTATGGCCTCCTCCAGCTTCTGGAAAGGCAGCGGCGGCAGCGGCGGCAAGGCGAGCGGTGGCTCCTTGTAAGCTGCGGGACCGACGCCGGGGGTGCTGTCTGGGCGCGGGGGCAGTTCGCGCTCACCCGGCGGTCGCTCCGGAGGCGCGGAGCCCGTCGGGCTTTTCTTGGACAGGTCCAGGCCGCAGAGCGGGGAGCATCGCCGCTCCGAAGCGCAGAGTGCGGCGGCAGGGCCAGGGCCTGAGGCGTAGAGCTCCGCACAGTGCGTGTTCACTGAGGCCTCGGGGCCCGACGGCGGCTCGGCGGTGGGCGGCGGCGGAGGCCCGGCTGGGGAAGAGTAGCAGGCCTGGATGACGGGCGTGGCGGCCCGCAGGCCCCGGCCCGGCCGCCCGTAGGGTGCATAGCCGCCGCCGCCGCCGCCGCCGCCCCGCAGGTGGCAGTACTTGCCGTGGCGCTTGAGGCGCTTCTTGCACAACGCCACGAGGTCGGGGATCTGCAGGTAGCTGGCGGCAGCCAGCACTGCGCCCAGGCTCGGCTCGGCCCCCGGAGCCACAGCTGCCGCCGCCGCCGCCTCTGCTCCATCAGCCAAGCGGCCGGTGTAGATGAAGTCCAGCACCAGGCGGAATACGGCCGGGCTCACCATGTCATGATCCAGGTTGAGCAGGTTGTCATGCACCACCAGGGACTTGAGGTAGGCGCTGCTGGCCGCAAGCACATTCTTGTGCGCGCGGAAGAGGGCGTTCTGCACCACGATTATCACGTCGCACAAGAAGCCCTTGGTGCGCTGGTTGTTGAGCTGCAGCAGCAGCTGCCTCGAGTGGCCCGGCGCCTCCATCGTGTCCAGCATCGTCTGCCCAGCACAGTCTCCTGGGGGGGACACACAGCAGCCGGGTCAGAGCCGTACGCAGACCAGTGCTTCTGCCCTCCACTTCCCCTTCCCCTCAGCTAGGCAGGGGCATCGAGCACTCGAGCACCGGGGCCTGGGCACTGGTGGCGGATGGGAGGCCCCCGAGTGTGGGAGCCTGGGCCGGTGGGCCCAGACCAAAAGGAGCAGGAGAGTGGCTGATGGAGAAGACGCCAGGCTGGCCTGCACCCCCAGGCCTGGATGCCTCCAGGCACACAGGCTGGTTTGGGGCAGGGGAGCGTCTGAGGAGAAAACTGTTCAGGCGAAGTGACCCTTTTGGAGACAGTTACCCGGTTTGAGGAAAATGTCCGCTTCAGGAAAAGTCATTCAGGGCCTAGAGGTTTGTTCATGTGGGATATAAGGGAGCCGAGTAAAAAGCGCCTCCCGCCTCGGGAGAAGTTGCCCCAGTTGGCGGAATTGATCCGAAGGAGGGGAGCGCGATGCCCGCCGTTGTGCCGCCCTGGCCAGGGGCTGTCAGGCCTTCAGTTAGGGCCCGGGCGGCGGCAGCGGCGCGGGGAGCGGAGGCAACGGCTGCCGTGGCGGGCAGAGCTTGAAGGCCAGCCCCGGCGTGGGGAGGGCGTTATATCGGGGCAGGAGGCTGAGGCAGGAAGCAGGTGGGGGGGAGGGGGGAGCCACGCAGCTCCCAGGGGAGGGAGGGGGCAGCGCCCCGGGCGGGCACGGCGCACAGCCGGCCGAGGCCCTGACCCCGGCCTGCGCCCCACCCGCGTCCCGGCCCCGGCCTCGGCCTCGGCCTCAGCTCTGCATTCGCGGGCCCGGTTCCTCCTCCCCAGCTCCCCTCGGCCGCATATCCACGGCAACTCCGCCGCCCCAAACTTAGGGAAAAGTTTCCCAACTTCAGACAGGCCGGGAGGAGCGCTCCAGACCCAGTCCCTCAGCTCCCAGGTTTTCCCCTAGGCCCCCAATTTCGGCAACGAGGCGGCGCAAGGCCTGAGCCGAACCCTGAACTCCCCTGCCTGCCAGCTCGCCCGCCCGACCCTGTTCCCCGCCTGGCCCGCAGGGCCTCGCGGCCCGTTACCTGCGGCCGCAGTCCAGCCGGGCTTCCCTCCCTGCGGTGGTGGCAGCTCGTAGCCGGCGGCCCACCCGCCCCGCTGCCAGGCGCCGAGCTGTGCCAGGGCAGCGCCCCTGCCAGCCCCGCCCGCCAGCTCCCCTTCCCTTCCCCTCGCCTCTCCAGCCCATGTGCGGGCAGAGTCGGCCTCGGCCACTGACCCCGCGGTGAACTCGACGCGGAGGACCGGACCGGCGGTCCTGGGTTCTCCGGGGGGACACCCAAAGCCCTGAACGTCAGCTGCGTTAGGGCGCCAGCGCGGGAGGATGCGCCTGAGGCCGCCAGCGCGCGAGGACCGGTCTGTCCGGGTCCCCTGTCCCTCCCGGTCCCCAGCCCAAGGACCCACCTGGGGGGCATGTCGGAAGCCCCGGGCCCGGCTGCCTGCGGATCCAGGGGGGACGTGGCTGCGCTGCGCTGCCCTCCTCCCGCCGGGCCCCCGGTCGGTCTGTCCTGCTGGTCCGTCCTCCCCGCGTCCTGGTCGCGTCTCAGCCCCGCCGCGCTTTACGCACACTCTTATCTGGAGCGGCCCAGGCCAGCGGGCAAGGCTGCAGCTATGGCTCCACCTCGCGGTCGCGAGGAACTTTGCGCGTTACAGCCTCGATCTCCCTCAAGCGCACCTGGACTGGAGGCTCGAAGATGCGGAGCCGGATGGGACCGAGGAGGGGGCCCTATTTACAGGTTCACCCTTCCAGATGTGCCCACCTTGGGACCAGGCCCAGGACCTGAGAGCCACACAAACCC